CATCCGCCATGTCGTTGCGTAATCCTCTCTCATACTCGATCTCTTCTAGGGTGAGTGGCACCGACATTCCCATCGCTACTTCTTCCTCATGTACTTGTGGTTCGGCATGCAACGATGTGCCTTCTAGTAGTTCAATGTCTTGTATCCTTTCCACGCCATCAAGGTAGCATTTCAAGCAAATGCACACTTCCACCGACAAAGGGGTTAGTTTTGTTCTTCTTGGTGATATTACCCTGCCACTAACAGAAAAAGCCGATTCCGAAGCTACCGTAGAAGCTTGGGAGCTTAGTAGATCACGGGCCATAGCGGCTAGAATCGGAAATTGGGTTTCCTTTCCTTTCCACCAAGCCAAGATATCAAAATTTTCAAACTCTTGAATACTCATTTGAGACAAGAAATCGGAACCAATGTACCTCCCGAGCTCGCTACTTGGGGTGTTAGACCGAGCTCGTTTGGAATTTTCATTCCTCAAAGTATTATAAAGCCTAATTGTTTCGTTATTTTGGTGAGAAGTGGATCCGGATGCCCCCGTATTTTGCATCATGTCATGAATGTTTGTTGAACCATATTTTGTTAAATAAACTTCAAACAAATTTTGAAAAACTTTGTTAAATTTTGAAACTTCCTTTGATGCATAATCCATGTCATCATCCATTAAACCCAAATCGTAACAAATATTTTCAATTAAAGTCTCAACCCCCCCAACATTTAGAGCCGGATTTAAAGCGGCGGAACAAATAATAATGGGAGGCATTTCTTGAAAATATTTTTTTAACTTTGCTTTCATCGGTTTCATCATATTAGCAAACATTGTGCTCCTCATTTCAAACTCATTTATTTTCGCACACATTAAAAAAATTTGGTTTAAAACTAAACAACTTGTAGGATAATAAACACCCGATAAAAAAGTAATTGCTTTTTTAAAAACATCAAGCATGTCCGTAACAAGTTTGATAGTATCCCAACTTGATTCCGGATAAGCCGTAACCTTATTACGGTCCGCAAGGTTGTCATGGAACATTTTTAAAGTATCTTTTTGACGTAAGCACATTCAAACATTTTGCAAGTGGAGTTCCATCGGGTATTATTTTCCCAATTCGGACCTAAAAAGAGGGCATTGCATCGACACAAAATTGCATATAATTATGATATCGAGCGTTACTAGAACTAAAAATATCTTTTAGCATGTCTTTGAAACCATCTTTTATAGTTTCAATGCTAGTTAGTCCATCTTGCACAACCAAATTAATGATATGTGCAACACATCGACTATGAAAAAAAACACCATCGCAAATTGGTTTATATTTTAGTTTTAGTTGTCCAACCGCGACGGTGTTGTTTGAAGCATTATCAAAAGATATAGAAAAAATCTTTCCTTCAAGTTTATAAGTTTTGATCACACAATCTAAAATTTTAAATAAATTTCTACCGGTGTGCGGGTACTCAAACAATTCAAACGTAATCGTACGCTTCATCATTACCCAATTAGTTGGATTAATCCAATGAGCGGTAACACAAAGGTACGCATCCGGTGAACCGTGAAGAGCCGTCCAAACATCACAAGTTAAATTCACACCGGTTTCTAAAGATTGAAATCCTAAAATCAATTCATTTTTTGCAAGTTGCCACATTTCAATACAATCACGTCTAATAGAAGTACGACTCACATGGCAATATTGTGGTTGGAGAGTATCTTGGATGTGTGAAGTCAATCGTTTGTTGTCGAAGTGGTCAAAAGGCAAACATTCTTGAATCACGAACTTTGCCATCCTATCTCGAACTTTACTCAAATCGTAACTCCACAATGTTGCATCATTCGCCATTGTTGTTTGATTATGACCCGGCCCAAATTTCACCGCGAGGCATCTTTTTGTCATATGAGTTTTCAATGTCGAATTCTCTTCTTCATTAAAAAAAGCACCACATTTCTTGCATCGCGCTCTTTTTATACCGTTCGACATTACACACAAATCATAGTTGCACCAAATAGCCGGATTTCTATTTGTTTCTTTGATGCTAACAACGGTGAGATTGTTTGATGAGTCTCCAATACCAACGGAAGCCGAATCCATTGTTTGAATTAAGAGCGTTTTTTGAAGTAAGAGAGGTTTTTTGAGGTTTGGTTAACCCAAAACATGTAATAGGTATTTATACTATCAAATATTGGGGAATATGGCCAAAAGGGACCAAAAAACGAGTATCTAACAGCCATAAACGGCTATATAGCCGTTAGAATAAGACAAAAAAAAAGGTAATATGCAAAAAACCGGTTCAAAATCGGATTATACATCGGTTCAAAAAACCGGTTCTTAACAAACCGGTTCGAAACCGGATCACACATTCAAAAGGGCGAATTTGTTCGGTCCGGAGGTTCGGTTCTTCGGGGGTTCGGTTCATGCCTGAACCGGTTCGGAGGTAAACCGGTTTCCGGTTCACTGACCGGTTCGGTTTGTGAACCGGTTTTTTTGGTCATCTCTATGTTCACCTGACTGATCCATTTTTGAGTTTTGGGCCCATTTCACAAGAAGTTTATATTAGGGGTGAACATTTGGACCGGCGAACCGGACTGGATCGGACCGTTTTTTTGGACCACCGGATCGGTTCTCGGTTCTAGGAATCCATCAAAACCGGTTCGGTTTTTTCCCAGCCCGGTCCGGTTTTTACCGGGTTTAGAACCGGTTTGACCCGATTTAAAAAAAAAAAATTATAATATGTACTTTTTTTAAAGAAGCATAACTCATTCGTTTTAAGTAGGATTGACACGCGATTTTTTCCAACATTTAATTTACAGTTTGTAGATGATTTTAGACTATAATTTTGTTGATTTTGGTATTATATTGAATGAGTTAACGTCTTTCAAAGTTGAGTTATCAAAGCTGAAAATTTTTAGTTTTTCAGCAACATTTTTAAATTTTTTGTAATCTGTGAAAAATTTTAAACAACCATAACTCATTCGTTTTAAGTCGGATTGACTGATGGTTTTTTCCAACGTTTAATTTACAGTTTGTAGATGAATTTATACTATAATTTTGTTGATTTTGGTATTATATTCAATTAGTTACAGTCTTTCAAAGTTGAGCTATCAAAGCTGAAATTTTTCAGTTTTTTAGCAAAAATTTTAAAATTTTGTAATCTGTGAAAATTTTTAAACAACCATAACTGATTTGTTTTAAATCGATTGACCTGCGATTTTTTTCAGCATTTAGTTTACAGTTTCTAGATGAATTTAGACTATAATTTTGTTGATTTTGGTAATATATTCAACGAGTTACAATCCTTCAAAGTTGAGTTATCAAAACTGAAATATTTTAACTTTTTAACTATTATTTTAGACTATAATTATGAATTTTATGTGTCTTTGACAGATAAATCATATAAAAGGGATATTGGTGAAGTTTATTTATATGTTAGTTGCTTTTATTTGAAAAATTAAATTTGAAAGTTATAATATTATAATATCAATGTAGATTAGTTATGCATGAAACAGAAATGTAATCATTTTTACAAGTTGTATCGTATCAAACCCAATAACATACCCGTTTTAAAGAGTTCTATCAAACACAAAAACTTATTTTAATAACTTGTACTCTATGTAATTAAAGTTGTACCGGTTCAAATGAGTCCAAGAACCGAAAAACTCGGACCTAGACTTGGACCCGGACACGGACATGGACACGGACACGATTCATCCGGTCCGATCCATGGTCCACAATATTCTCCATAACCGGTTCGGTCCAAGAGCCAGTCCGTTCCGGTCCGGTTCGGTCCAAATGCTCACCCTTAGTTCATATGATCCTCATGGACTCATCGTATCATATATGATTTTTTTTATTTTTTTTACTAATTTTTGAAAAACTTAAAATAGAGGTTAGTTTGTCGTTTTCACTTTTAATAATATAGCTTTATTCTAATAAAAGAATAGTTTAATCTTCTTTTGTTCTATAATACAATTTTTCATTAATATTATGTTACATGTCATGGAGATGTATATTAGGCAAATCATTTCAAAATTCAAATTTACTTTTTTCTAAATATATTTTAAATTTGAAGTTATAATAAGTTTAAAATTTTGATATATCTCTTAATCAATAATTTATTTAAAATGGTTTATTTAAAAGAATTGATTAATAATTATGAATTTTTATTTTAAAAGTCTAGTTAATTTTGTAACGAGTTATAAACTAGTTGTATATATAAACATAACTATAAAAATGATATTTAAATTAATAATATAATCATTTTAAATAAAACGAATGATGATATTATGTACATTTAAATACATTTACTGAACTTTCACTTCATTATACCTATTAACTTGATTTATCAATATATTAAAATATTAAAATGTATATGTTTATAAATTATCATAAAAATAACTTATCATAATTTATAAATTAGTTTGGAACCTAGCTTATAATAAGTTAATTAATATAACATAAGTTATTTCAAACCAACATAAGCTATCATAGCTATTTTTATGTTTTATCAAAATGTTAATTCCTATTCTAATGAAAGAATAATTTTAATCTTCTTTGGACACGTGTCATCATATTAGACATCCTAATTAATACATTTTTTTTTGCCATGTATCACTCTATTAAACCTATTAATTAATGCATACCACTTGTCAAACCTATTAATTATGTATTTCAAATTTTAAAATTTTCACTTTAATTACAATAAATTAATAACAATAGAATAAAAATTAAAATAAAATTAATACAAATTATAAGGTGATATAATTCCACATATTTATTTAAATTAACGATTATAATTAATTAATAATTTTATTTCTAACTATTAAAGTTTAATTAATTTTGTAACGGTGATCTACTCTTGGGAAACCGTTTACCAACGTCGATTAAAGTCTTTTACCCTTCGAATTTTCACTTTTTATTCAAATGAAAATCATATTTTTTTAGTTTTTAATTTTCATTTTTTTTAATATTTTCATACTCATATGTTTAAAAAATATATGTAATTAAAATTAAAAAGATACAATAAAATATTGCTACCCTAAAAACAACCCAAGAATCCCCAAAGTTTGCGGTTGCCCTGTCTGCTTTGCCCAATTCAAACCTCCCCAAATCCGATCAAAACCATAAGCAAAAGACGAATCAGAAGTGCCAATCCTCTCTTCAATCGATCTCCGACCTTGCGATCCGAACGATCTCTGCAGCTCCATAAAAACCATGTTTCGTCAAGTGGCTTCTCGCCTCCTCGCCCGATCCACCAACACTTACCCCGCCGGCGCCGCTGCTACCCTTCGCCGGCCCTACTCGACCGAGGTCTCTGCTGATAACGCACCCGGTGACAGTGCATTCGTCGAGGCATGGAAGAAAGTGGCTCCCAACATCGATCCACCAAAGACACCGATCCAGTTTATGCAACCCCGTCCTCCTACACCTTCCACCTTGCCCTCTAAACTTACTGTGAATTTCGTTCTCCCTTACGCTTCAGAACTTTCTAAAAAAGAGGTCGGTGTTTCTTGTTTTAACAAATCGTGCAAGCCGCTTTAATTTCGCCTATTTGAATTTTCTAGGGTTTGATATAGTTAATAATGCGGTTAAGCTTGATTATCTCTTCCAGTATACGATAAATATCCTAGGTTTTGTACCATTTATCGAAATCATTTGGTTTATTTATACAAAATCACAACGTTTGCACTTTAAATAATCAGTTTCATTTTGGGCATTTCTCTGAGTTTGTAGTCATGAGATCTATTGAAAACAGCCTCTTGATCGTGTATCATTAGAATCAAATCACAAGTTTTAAATTGATTCATTTCTGCACTACATATGAATATGATTAATCTTAGTATCTCACCATGTGTCATCTTGAAACTCTGGAAATGTTGTTGATGTTTTGTGATGATTACAACACTACAGGTTGATATGGTGATAGTTCCTGCAACAACAGGGCTAATGGGTATTTTACCAGGACACGTGCCAACAATCGCTGAGCTAAAACCAGGCCTTCTTTCAGTCCATGAAGGAAACGATGTGAAGAAATACTTCATCAGCAGTGGGTTTGCTTTTGTTCATTCAAACTCTTATGCAGACATATTGGCTGTAGAAGCTGTACCACTTGACAGAATTGATCCAGCACAAGTACAAAAGGGATTAAGTGAGTTTACACAGAAGCTGGGGTCTGCATCAACTGATTTAGACAAGGCTGAAGCACAAATTGGTGTGGATGTTCATAGTGCTCTTAACTCTGCTCTTACAGGCTAGAATAAGTATGGTGAGAGTTCATTACTTGTTTTTTTTTTTTTTTTTAAACTCAAAATAAGAGTTTTCTCTTAACTTTATGGAAATGGGAAGACTTTTGGTAGAATGTTTTGTGTTCATGATGAACGTGGGATGTAAGATTTGTTACATTTGATATCCAATTTTATCAGATTTGGGTTTCTTGAAATTTGAACTGAAATTCAAGAAATAATATTTACTTTTTCCATGTCAATGCATGAGTGGCCTACTACTAGCAAGGAGATGAGAATTCATAAGACTGTGTGTTGTTATACATGCCTTACAGCATTGCGGGGTGCTGATGTGGCATACCATGCCACCTCAACTGAAAGTGGAAGGACTTTTAGTTTTAAGGTGGAATGTGAAGAAGTTCAAGCAACAGTTTTTTAAATCAACGTAGGAGTGGTTGTAATGAATTGGACTTTTTCAATGGGGTGCTGGAGCAATACTGATTAGAACATAATGGGTCAAACACCGGATCAGGATGGGTAAAAGAAAAAGAGTTCGGTCGTCAGCTTCATTGGGCTCCAATACATATGACAAATTAGATCAATTAGTGGAAAATTTGGTAAAATTTAATTCGAGTTATGAATTAATAAAATCATATAAAAGAAAAAAAATCGTGCAATAAAAAATAAAAATACACGTGGAAGGCCGAAACATTTTATTTAGAAGTCTTCGGCTTTTCACATTTCACCCTTCATTCCTTCACGACATTAAATAATAATAATAGGGTTATTGTCACTGTAATCCAAAGATGTTTAGTATATTAGTTTAAAAGGTTCCATGTGATTTTTTTTTTTGCTTTTTAAGGGTACCTACTTATGTTTTACCTGCTAATAAAGGAATATGCCACATTTTAAGCCGGTTTTACCGGTTACAAGCTAATTTGATTTTTTATTACTGTATATTTTACCTGTTTAGAAAAACCTCATTCTTCTTTAATGAATCAATTTGTAGCTACGGGTTCTCACGATTGTGAGTTTCTTCTTTATCTCAACCTTTACAATCGATCTCAAACCCTGCTTCTTGTTAAAAATTGGTTGCAAATACCCTATTCTTACCTCATTCTTCTTTTATCTGCTCAAAATCGCACAAAGCCATCCCTTTTTCTTTTGTATTCGATCACCGTCTCCTGCATTTGATCAACTCCAGCCACCATCGACTTCCATATTTGCCATTCCTCCATCTTTGTCGTCTAACTAGAAACCTACTCCTTCGAAGTCCTGGTCGGGCTTATAGTCAATGATGAATCTCTGTCTATAATGATTGATTGGTGTTCATTAGACTCACCGAACTTCCCCTCCATAATCGCAGGGATCGCACAACATGCCACAATCTGCTACCTCGTATCGATTCGTGGTACATTTTTGTCTGGTACGCACGAGGAACACGATGTGGATCATAAGATTTAACGTCTTCAATTTTGTACATGTTTTATCGGTTTGGGAACACGATTTTAGAATGCCGATTTCACCGATTTTGCAACTTCGGATTGTTGATTTCATAAAATTGCTGTTGATTTCATCAAATTTTCGTCGATTTGGAATGTTCTGGGTTGAAATCGTTTGTCGATTTCATAAAATTGGAAGGTTTATTATGTTGATTACTTATATATAGACTTAATTGATTTCACAAAGTCGGATTTACATAATTGACTTCAAATTGATTTCTTTGACATAATTGTTTTTACATTTATAATTGATTTCGTGACTTTTAACTGATTTCTTTTAATTAATTTAATGAATTCACTTATAACATTGATTTAATTGACTTCAGTTGGTTTTAGGATCCAATCGGAAGTCGGTTGGAAAGTTTGGGTCTTCTGCACGGTTCCTTTTCAGTTGGTTGTCCAGAATAGATTCATGGTTCCCGTTGCAAGTATCTGATTCATCCACTAGCGATCCTATGTAACATAAGTAGGTGCCCTTAAAAAGTTTGTTAGTAATTACATGTATTTCAAGATATGTATTTTAATATCATTAATAGAAAAAGTTTGGGTCTTCTGCAAGTATCTTGATGTGAGGATTTGTGAAGCGAGAATGGAGTTGAGAGCAAGAAGCAAAGAAGATGATGAGGTAGGTACAGGAGACTGAAAGGAACACAACATTTGTTTTCTGGTTTGCAGTTTTCCAGTGAAGCACCGAAGCTCAAGCAGTCTTTCACTATTGTGTTTATGGAAGCAAGTCAAAGTCAAAGAAATGGACGAGAATGAGCGAATGCAAGACCTTGATTTAATTTAGGTGATTATGAAGGGGTTCACCGGGTGACCCCTTCACATTTTTTATAATGACCTTTTAAAACTGTAAAACACAAGTACAAACCCTTAAAATACAAAAAATAGTTACGAGGGACCATTTAAACCATTATACGGAACTTTGTTGGACTAGAGTGACAATAACCCATAATAATAATAATAATAATAATAATAATAATAATAATAATAATAATAATAATAATAATAATTCTTGCATCGAGACTAAAACATGTTATGGGTCATTGTATCGACGAGCTTCAATCGACATATGTGGAAGGTCGAAACATTTTGAACGGGCATTAGTTGTGAACGAAATATGTTCGTGGGCAACAAAGAATAAAAAAGAAACTATTTATTTCAAGATTGATTTCAACAAGGCCTTCGAGGCTTCGACTTAATTAACCTGGGTTTTCTGGATTCAAACCTTGCACAAATGGGCTTCGAGGGAAATGGAGAATGTCGATCAGGGGATGTCTTCAATCTTCAAAAACTTCGGTTTTGGTAAATAGTAAATAGTAACGCTACAAATGAATTTTCATTTTCCAAAGGAGTACATTAGTGGGACCTTTTTCCCCATTTCTCTTCATCACAACCTTCGAAGGGCTCGGCGTTGCAATGAGAGCGGCTTGCGATAACGACATCTTCCAAGGTACTAGATTGCCACATGGCGAACCTCTAATCTCCCACATACTTTATGCAGATGATGCGTTGTTCATAGGTGAATGGTCAAATCACAACATAAGAAACCTAGCTAGAATTCTTTGTTGTTTTCGTGTATCTTCGGGGCTAAATGTTAATTTCAATAAGTTAAGGGTTTTTGGTGTTGGCGCCAACATTCAGGAAGTTTCTAATTGGGCTCGGCCTCTTGACTGTGAGCTTTCTGTTAAGTCGTTCACTTACTTAGGGGTTCTAATGGGCGCTAATATGAGGCTCACGAAGCATTGGAAACCGGTCCTTGATAGGTTCCAATATAAATTATCGACTTGGAAATCGAAAACACACTCGTTTGGGGGCGATTTGATGCTTGTCAAATTGGTACTAGGTAATCTTCCAACCTATTTTCTTTCGCTTTTTATTACGCCAAGGGGGGAGTACTTGAAACTTTAGAGAAAATTAGAATATGTTTTCTATGGTATGGTCGGAAGGAAAATTGAAGATACAGTGGGTATCTTGGGATAAAGTTATAGCTATCAATAAACAGTAGGAACACAATAGTGTATTTGCTTAGAGAATTAAATTGGACTGAATGAAGCATTTACCCTTTTCATCAATATGTAATATCTGGTTGTTTTCTTTTCGTGTTGCATTTTCCCTCCACAATTATTTTGGAGAGAAACTGAAAATAAAGCAAAAAAAAAGAAGAAGAAGAAGAAGAAGAAGTAATAATGATAATTAAAGAAAACCCTAAGGGTGCGTTTAGTAGCGGAAAAATGAGCCGTTTTCTGGAAAAATTTTCCAAGAAAAATGAGAATTTTGAAAACGTGTGTAGTTTGTCTATTTTTCTAAATTTTTCACGGAAAATGAAATTTTTTCGTTTTCTAAAATTACAAAGAAGTTGGAAACTTTTGGAAAATTGATAATCATTGTTTTCCACATTTTTCTAATTCCAAAATTTTTCTATAAACACACACCCACTTCACCCAATCCACCTCTACCTACCCCCACCTTAACATCCCCCACCCCCACACACACATATACATACCCCCCCCACACACACACATACATGCCAACTCACACATACACACACCCCCCCCCCCCCCCACACACACACACATACATACCCACCCACACACACACACACATACATGCCAACTCACACATACACACACCAACCCCCCCCCCCCCCCACACACACACCCACCCATCCACAAACACACACCTACATACCCACCCCCCACACACACCCACCCGCACACACAAACACACACCAACCCCCACACACACATACATACTCACCCACACACCCACCCACCCACCCACCCACAAACACACACACACACACATACACACACACATACCCACACACACACCCACCCACAAACACACACACATACATATACACATACATACCCACCCACAAACACACACACATACATACCTACCCCCACACACACCCACCCGCACACATACACATACATACCCACCTATACACACACACACACCCGCACATACACACTTGCACACACACACATACATACCCACCCACCCACACACACACACCCACCCACAAACATACATACACATACATACCCACCCCCCACACACACCCACCCACACACACACATACATACTCACCCACCCACCTACAAACACACACACACACATACATACCCACAAACACCGACCCACAAACACACACACATACACATACACATACATACCCACCCACAAACACACACACACACACATACATACTCACCCCCCACACACACACCCACCCGCACACACACACACATACATACCCACCTATACACACACACCCGCACATACACACCTGCACGCACACACATACATATCCACCCACACCCACACACACAAACATACACCTACCCCCACACCCACCCCACCCTCACAGATACACACACCCACACACACAAACCTACACCTACCCCCACTCACCCAACACCACCACGACAATCACCGATCTACCATCACCACTAACCCGTCACTAGCACCACCACCATCGTTGCCGCCGACATCACCACCACTGACACAATTGCCGCCGCCACCACCATTGCATGTCATCACCACCACCGCTGCCGACCCGCTACCGTCACCGCCCCCACCCATACCCTACCACCGCTATCGTTTTCTAAAAATGAAAACCGATAGAAAAATACACATCTAAACACGTTTTCTAATTTTCTAAAACTGAAAATGAAAAATTAATAAGTTTAACTAAGCGCGTTTTCAAAAAATTTCAGTGAAAAATGAAAACGGAAAACGAAAATCGAAAAAGAAAAACAAAAAACGGAAAATGAAAAGTGTTTTTTCGTAACTAAACGCAACCTAATATTTTGAGTTGGAAAGAACGAGAATGAAAGCTAATAGCTATATGTGTTGACGTATAAAACTTTATATTTTTGTCCTTTAATGTAAATATATGATAACCATATGATAAAAAGTAGAAATAAATAATGATGGTAAAACCTCATTGGTAATACAAGATGGATTTCCACCATTATATAAGGATGAGATTAGAAATAGTCAAGATTTTGCTTGGATCACTAACATCATAAAACTAAGTTTTTATAGGATGCTGGTTGTAATGGGGTGGATGTGCTTTTTTTTTTTTTTTCATTCTTTTTATATAAGAATTGCGTAATCCTTTTTAACGTCTTTCTTGCCAAAAAAGACGACGACTACTACTACTACTAATACTAATAATAATAATAATAATAATAATAATAATAATAAAATAAATAATAAATAATAAAATCTTAGACTTAAAATTGATTGTCTGTTTTAGTATCATAACTAAAAATTATTGATTTTAGTTTTGTTTTATATGATATTTTAACTTAAAGTTATTCAATACTAAACACGTAATAGAGAAAACTGTGTTATGAGCCTATGACATTTTAGCTACAACCGTGTTATATTTTTCTTAAAAGTTAACATATATTAAACATATTTATAAAGTTATATGATTTTTTTTTGCCAAATACCTTTAAACTATTATGAAAGAATGAGCGAATATATTAATCAATAGCTAGAAACTATATAAAAAAATGTTACAACATATAATAATAATTAAAGCGAGAGTTTGTAACCAACCAACTCAATTCACTTTCAACCAAACATCTGTTAAACAACTAAAAATGTCAATTTTTTTTTTTGTTCGATCAAAAGAACAAAACATTTTGGTATATCCAAATCACCAAATAAGAACCTAAAAAAACCACATCCAAACATTTCTTTGCATCAAGCAAAGACCATAGTTATCCACCCAACAAATCTATTTTATAAGGAAAATTCTATATGTATCCCTCGTTGTTGTATATTTTTTTTATGTGACTATAATAATGTTTGTATTCAATTTATATGAATTAAGGTATAAATATAATAGCACCTTTTATAACTGTGCCAAAGTAGTATCAATGTCCCGTCACTCTCAATTTGCCTCCAAATAGAAGAAACCAACAAGAAATAAATAAATGATCACTCAACTCGATTCAAAAGCCTACAAAATAAATAATCTACATCCACGCCTCTTCTGTCCTAGTTGACGCTAGTAGGTAATGGATCCAAAAAAAAAAAAAAGTCTCGAATCTCCAATATTTAACTTAATGGGATCCAATTTATTTCATCTAGTAGTTTTTTTCTGCACAACCAAAGTTTCGACATCAATGAACTTTGAAGCCAATCACACGGTGAACACTCTTATCGAATCAAGCTCCAAGTCAATCATTCATTTGCGTTTCTTAATCCCCATGTCTATCAAAGCCAATTCCCCAATCATACATCATAACTTCATCACGATTTAACCATATACATCTGTTATTGGTTTTCAAGATTGTTGGTGATTTTATATCACTAATATTATTTGTTGATCAATATTACTTTGATAATTAGTAAACAAATTAGTATGGTGCGGAGTATACATTTGTTTAATTTTGTTATTGTTGATAATATATTGCTATTTAGGGGCGAAGCTCATGAACTGACGGGGGTCCAGGGCAACATCACTGGGAGCGGGGTCCAAGGAGCAGAGCCCCTGGGTGAGGTCGAACTGCTTTCCTGTATTTTTGTTATATAAAAAATGTCTCAGAAATCTGTATTTTTGCTATATAAGTTATGTTGCTATATAAAAAATGTCTAAGAAATCCGTATTTTTGTAAAAACACCCGATTTTGTGGTCTATTTATAGATCCGGTTTGAAGTTAGTTTGTGAAAGGTAATATGACCGTTTTTGGACAGGAAGTTGTTTTCCTGTAATTACTATATGACAGTTTTAAGATATGAAGTTAGTTTTTGTTATATTAT